AATTGCTACTTGAATAGAATAGGTGTTATTAAAGATGAAAAAAAAGCATTTAGATAGTATTTGAAGTCTGCTAAAGGTGGAAATTCCGACAGGCAATTAAGTGTTGGAAATTGTTACCAAAATGGAAAAGGTATTTGTAAAAATGAAAAAAAGGCACTTGAATGGTACTTAAAATCTGCTGAGAGTGGAAATTCCAATGGACAGTTAAGTCTTGGAAGTTGCTATCAAAATGGGATAGGCATCTCTAAAGATGAAAATAAGGTGTTTGAATGGTATTTGAAATCATCTAGTTCTAAAAAAGATGAGTGATCTGTAACACTTAACAAAAAGAATATTAAAAAATGACCATTTTCAAATATACAAACAGCATCAGGACAATATAAAAAACTTGTTTCTTTTGGAAAAGATGCTGAAAAAGAACTTTCAACACTAATTATGCAGCATCAATTAATTACAACAAATCAACTGCCTGCTGTTTATATGCGTAGTATTCAACTAGATATTAATAATGAAAGTGTGAATCTAAATTATTAACCGTTTAATAAAGAAACAGAACTTCTTAAATTGGATGCCATTGTTCAAGCACACGATAAAACTTTACTATCTCGCGATGGGTATCGGCGGTTGGCTGCTGCTGAACCCCAACTAATCAGAGAACACCAAATTGCAGCACAAAGAATTGAAATAACTGATCTGATAAATAATAAAGTTAAAATTGAACCTTTTAATACCAATGATCTTGATAATGATATGTTATTTGAACAATCAGAACTCAATAATGGCATTTATAGATCAATCAAGTCCATTTTAAGTGTTCTTGTTCCTATTTTGAAATGATCTTCTCTACCTACTCTTATTCTGGGAGATACGCCTAAGTTAAAGCTTGGAGGTGACGGTCGTTATATAGGCACCAAACAAAATCACGTAATGATGACTTTTTGTCTGTTGAATAAAGATAAAAAGGTTTTAAAACCTAATAATCAATATTGGTAAGTTTTGTAAAATAATTTGATTATTTATTGTAATTAAAAGTTCTAATTATTTTTTATTTAAGCATTTGCTTATATATCGGACAAGAAAAATACGATACGTTAGCTAAAGTTGGATGCATATTCGAAGATAAATTTTGAGATCTTTGAAGTAATAGTTTTTTTGATCAAGACGGTATTAGTTAGCCAGTCGAATTGTATTTTTGTGGAGACTGGAAATTTATATATCTAATAATGGGATTAAATGCTCCAAATGTGGATTATTTCTGCTTATATTGTAACTATAATACAGCATCCCGATGGGATATGGATCAGATTTGGGCTAACACTGGAAATTTGAAATATAATATTATAAAACTACTAATAAATCTTTTTTGTCAAGTAAAATTTGAGAGTTTTATTTTGTACATTTTTAACAATACATATATTTAGTATATATATTGTTTTATATATATATATTTTTTAAATTTAATATAATTAATTAGGTGCAAAAAAGCCAATTTTATTTTCTGCAATAAATCAAGAAAATTATATTCCCGACGAATTGCATTTGCTTTTGCACATATCAGATATTTTAATGGAATGCTTTTTTAACGATTTATTTAAAAAAAAAGAATTTGAAAAACAAATAAAGCCTTCTATTGAAACATCATTTAAAGAACTCACAATAAATTTTGAGTTTTTTAAATTCAAATCTACAAGCAATAAGTGGAATTGGACTTCGTTAATGGGCCCGGATAAAAAAAAGATGTTAAAAAAGCTTCCTGTAGCACAATTTATATCTGGTGCACATAGACAAACTATCAAACAATTGTGGTATGAATTTTACTGGTTATATAATATTTTATGTCAATCGCAACTTTCTGATCAAGAAATTTATCAATTTAAAGTTGACGCAGAAAGTTGGATCAAAACTTTTTGCCATCCATCTCAAGGTTATATAAACTTTCTACAAAACACTGGCCTTTATCGAAAGCAGACATTATGCCATATATGCATGTCTTCACAAAGCATATACCTTTATTTATGCAAGAATTGAAAGCAAAGAATCTCTCTTTTAAATTTTTTTCTACCTCAAGCATTGAAAAAAAAATCATAACCAGGTAATAATAATATAAATTTTTATTAAATTTATATGTATTTTAATAAATTCTTTGTTAGGTTCGACTATTTTTTGGGGGTACTACAATGGGAGGAGGGAACAAAAAAGAATCTGTTGTTTATGATATAATGTCTTTTGAAAATCGTCAACTGTTTTATTTGGTCAACAATACTCCAAAAGAGATCAATATTTGAAATGTTAATGCGAATAAGGAAAATCTATTGTAGTGATTCTGGCGAATAATGAAAAATTAGCTAGTTGATTATTCAAGATCGGTTAATCAATTTTTATATAATTCATGTATAAGTTATATGTATAATGCGTGAATTAAACTTATTAAATAAATTTATTTTGCATTTCAATTTAGATTTTAAGTTAATGAAATTGTGAAATTTGGTTTTTTGAATTTTAATCTAATATTAATAGGAGATTTAGAATTATTGCACCTTGCAAAAAGATGTGAACACTGCAGATTGTTTTTTCATATGAGAATTGGAGATTTTATAGATTTTTTGAGATTTTAAGAATTAAACTAATTTCAAAGAAATATAAATGTAACCAATTGAAAATATAAAGTAACAGACGATCTGAAATCTTAGTGATTCTCAGCCATCATCATCACTAAAATCACATTTGCATCTTTTTGCAAAGCGCTATAATAACTTCGTATAATGATATTGTTTGGCCTACTATATGGAATATTGAAGATAATCACCATTTTTTAACACAGATTCAAGTGGACTAAAAGTGTTATAATATACAAAACTATAATAAAAAATAGCCATTTGAAAATTTTTTGAATTACTTCAAAGCTATAGGCGTAGGATTTTAATTATTAAGGATAGTAAGGTTCTATATAAGCCAATATCCAAAAATACTTACAAGATTTCTATGAATAATACTGTAGTATTATTATGTAAAAATAGAGTCCGAGTGTGTAGCTGTTATCTATTGTAATTTGTGAAATTTGCTTTCAGGTATTCTCGCAAACTTTCATTATTAGCATCCATTGCTATCTGAATTATATTTAATATGATTATTTAATACCCTCAAAAATTATAAATTGCTTGATTACCTTTCAGATTCTGTAGAATCTACTATATAAAATCAAAGTTATTAGACGGATCTAAAATGCTACAAATAAGAAGGCTCATTATTTTTTTAAATAAAATACTCAACATCCAAAAATTTAGTATAATAGTTTCAAATTTTTATTAATAATATTGTGCTACAATTTATTTTATAGCACTAATTAAAAGCCTTGGTGCTAAATACTATAACACCTTTCATTGATCTAAATCTATTAGAGTATATTGCTTATGCACTATATCTTTAATAATAAAACAACAAAATGTAATTATCTATTTAGTTGTTGAAAAGGTATCTGTAGTAATATAAATTTATAATTTTTTTGAACTGATTTATCATCTGAATTCTTATTTGAATTAATTTGTAGTATATTCATTTCTTGAGGTATGGCAGGTCTAATAAAATAAATGAACATATTAGAAAAAAAAAAAAATTTTTGCTATCAAAAAATTTAGAACTACATCGATTAATAAAAATTCCAACTTCAATCCTTACTGTTGAGAAAATTCTCCTGAATCAGCTATGAACTTACAGGTAACAGTGCCACATTGAAAAGTACGTTCATTCTCCTTAAATTCTGATTGTGTCCAACTAAAGTTAACTCTGTATAAACTCTCATTATAAACGTAGCCTATGGTTTTTAATTTTGGATCTTGTCGCACGTTCCAATTATCATAATTGACTAGTTGTTTCAATCTTTGTTCACCAGCCTCACCCTAGAAGAAACAAGAATACTTTCATTGCACGGGCCTATAACGGAAAGAAGGTTCACTTTCAAAAAGAAAAACGAATATATTTTCTGGAAAAGCATGAATGGAAACTTGTTTTGTGCCTATAGAATGCCTATTAAAGCCAAGACGTTTTTTAACAAGAACTATAAATGTGTCTTGATAAAATGTGATTTGCTCAAGGGATGGTTGAACAAGTAACTTGCAATGAGGTATGATTTTGTTATTTCGATGCCTAATTCTTTCGTGAATTACAAGCTTTTCTCGAGAAGAAAAAAACTCCTGGCAAAGTTGACATTTACTCACCATCAATGTATTGGCTAATTTTTTAGCAGTTGCGCGGCTCTGAGGTTCTACGCCTAATCGTTTATTCATCAGATTCAAAAGTAATTAAAGAACTTCGCATCTAATTTCAGGTCTATACAAAATACGTGTGCTAGATCTTAACGATCGATAAATTTTCAATTTAAATTCTAGTGATATAATTGAATAAAATCGTATGATTGGTTAATGATCATGTTTTGATCATCAATGTGACAAAATCGGATTTATGTGATATATCGTATGGAAACAGATCCGCCCATATGAGAAATTCAAAACAAACATTCGCTTTGCAAAAATCGCATTTTATCTCAATATTTAGACTAGTAAACCGATCTTTTTGCTCTAACAAAAAAATTTCTCGTGCAATTTTACTATACTTAGCTCATTCTAACCACAAATAAAACCTAACTCAAAATATAAACTAATTTTTTTGTTCGAAGACTATTGACATCGGAAAATCACGTGTTCGGAAAATCGATCCTACGCCCTGTCAAATTCGTTTTTCATTAAGTTCATTATCTTTTTTAGTCTTTTCTTTTATTTCTATTTATCGTTATTATTTTCTTTTATTTTTTTCAATTACTCTACATTTCTTTTTTCTTTGATTTGCCTTATGGATACTAGTATATTGGGTCTTGAAAAAATAATGGTTTACCCTTTGTGGCATGTACGTACTTATTTAACCATCACACTATCTGCTATAACTATCTGACATATCTCTAACCCTAATGTAATTAGACAAACAGTTATCTTTAAAAACAATTATATTTAAATTTCTACAATCGTTTTTAATTTAGAAAATATAATATTTATATCTTTAGGATTTAGGGTATAAAAAGAACTTTTTAACGGCATTTTATCAAACTTTTGACCATTCGGGGGCAAAGATAGCTCAAAATTAAGTACTATAAATAAAATATGTAAATGTACAATAAACTTTACGTTTAAGAAATCCATAACTGATAACGAATAAATAATCAACTTACGTATCATTGCAGTAATAACTATTTGTTCCATTATTGAAAAATTTTGTCCAATGCTGTGAAAGGATGAATTTAATCTTATATGGAATGTATATTCTTTCGAAATTAATAATAAAAAAGACATACCAATTTCTATGTCCACTAGAGAAAGGAATCCAATTTTCTTTATCGTCTTGATTCATAAATCTTTCAGGCTTAAACTCATCGCTCCAAAGATCAGAATTTTTATGAACTTGCCAGATATTCAACGAAAGACTCGTTCTTTCTGGTATTACAACGTCTTGATTAAATCTTACGGGTTTTAAAACTTTACGGAATGGTAACATTACTACTGCTGGATAAAGACGAAGTGATTCTTTAACTATTGCTTTGATATATTTTAGATCCTATTTATTTATATATATAGAATGATTTTAATATATTAAAAAAAAAATTATATAAAATGCATAAAAACCAAAGTAATACCTTAACATTTTCCGAATTTGGTATTTTAGAGGAATCTCCTAAGACTTTAAATGCTTCTTCTCTTGCTTTTTTTTGAATTTTCTAAAGTTTTTTTTTAAAAAAATAAACAAATGCTTATATAATTTATCAAATTCAAAAATTGCAAAACAAAAAAAAAAAAAAAACTTACAGGATATTTTGCCAAGTTATAGAAAACGGCACTCAACGCGAATGCTGTGGCTACAAAATAAATAAAAAATTTAACAAAAAAAATATTTATACGATATATGATAGAATAAAATGATTGTTAACACTTACTATTATGCCCAGCAGAAAAAATTGCAGTTAACTCATCTCTAAGATCTTTCACATTATGTTCAAAATTTTCATTGCCAATATTTTCTAACATATTAGCCAATAAATCTTTATGATCTTCACTTTTTTTTTCTTTAGCTATGTCAAGTTTTCGTTGTTCAATGACTTTATATATAAGTCGATCAAACTCTTCAATTACTTGAGAGAGTTCAAGATTTACTTTTAATGGAAGTTTATAAGTAAATTTTAATATCATGTAAATAGGATTTTGAATAAGTTCTGTAACTTTTTCATAAGTTTTTATGAAATATGGTTCCTCCTCCAGACTGTCTAATGCCTTATTAGAAAGAAGCAAGAAGTAATTTTAAGTTATGTAACAGTTTAAAATGGTGATATTATGAAGTATATATTTAAAATGATATATAAAAGGAGTACATACTTTCATATCATACGAGAAAGCCAATTTTCCCAATGTTTGAACAGTAATGCGTTTCATTAATGTAAATATGTCTAATGGAACATCGTTCCATTTATTTAACAGAGTTATAAGTTCATTGGTACATTCTCCAATCATCTCAGGGCTAAGAGATTTGTTAAATGCCGGCGTTGCCATTTTTCGTTGCCGTATTCGATCCTTTATTTTTTAAAAATGAATTTAAAAAAAGCATAATTTATTGTTTTCTCAAAAAATGAGATAAAATATCTTACTTCTCCGTTCGCAAAAGATATTCCTTTTCCAAAGAACCTTTTTATTGGGTGGCCATCTGGTGCTTGTGCTTTCGGAAGGACATCATCTAAAAAACAAATAAATAAAATAAAATAAAAAAACTTGATTCATTGATAATTTCGGATTGGAGAAATAATAATAATAATATACCATTCTCAGAGAAAAATACTCTGGCATATTCAATGTTAGTTATTAAAACTGACCATCCTGAAAAAAGGAAAATCTAAAAGGCCAAAAAAAAAAAGAAACATTGACTTTTAAAAACGTTTAGACAATAATGGTGAATAAATAATAATTCTACTAACTTTCACTAATCCGAATTTTTCTGGATCTGATTCACTAATAACGCGCTGAATTTCATGTTGTCCTTTGTTGAATAATACAGCCCATGCAAACTTATATATAGGTACAGTTGGAATGAGTTTTAATTCTTTAGGAGGTGTACAGGCTCTATGGATAAAATAGAGCCCAAGAATTAAGACCACTATGGGGATTGCAGAAAAGAAAGAAATCATTTTTGTAGAAATAAAACAATTCTTTTTTTTCGTAAATATATACCTTTATTACCTTATCATTGAACTGATTTACATGCAAATCAGTTGTAGTTCTAAGAAATTTACACTACATATCGATATTCCCATATTCTTTAGACTTTCATTTCATTTATTTTAGTTTAGCCGTTTCTATGTTATTTAGGAAGAAGCAAATTTGGACTAGTACAGATGGGCAATGCTAGAGTTAATACATGAATCCGGACTTAATAATTGTCCGGATATATAAATTCATAACTTCGGATTTAGCTTTAACGTTAAGTGTTTATTCATTCTAAATGTCAATTTAGGTTAAGATCATTAACAAAAATTATATTTGGTTTAGAATCAGGTTTATATAGTGATAGATTCTTAGTAATAACTACAGTATAATTACATAATAAGATTACTAATAGAACGTGAGAAAACTTTAATATATTGTTCTGTATAATTTACCGGAACCATACCTGAAAAGACGAAATCATGTAATAATGCAATGCAATTCACCAACGCCAATACGCCAGCACAGCAATAACTTACCAATCGATTGGGAGATTTGTGCCGATCCGGATCACTAATTCGAAGTGACCAATATTATTTGATAACTTAATTTATGCGGAAAATCTGTGGGGAACTCACCTAGGCCAAATCTCTACTAAGTAGCAAAAGTCTAACATCACCCTAAATCTTTTACACCTAAATTTAAGTTTAATATTACACCTAAATTTAAGTTTAATATCGATAGGATAACTTTGTATATGATAAGACGGAAGCAATTTATGAGAAAAATGTTTTTCGATAATAAGACAGTGACTTATTAAAATTTATTATTATTATTATTATTATTATTATTATTACTTATTTATTTGTTTATTTTGAATTAACTAACACTTATTCTAATGTGTATTTTATTTTTGGTTGTTTTCAGTGTTTTGTGATCTTCTTTATAATATTTATATCCAGAATTTTAGAATTGGCTAATAATGAAGTAATTATTGTTTTTTTAGTGCAGATCAGATCTTAGCGGAATTTCAAACTCAATTAAAACAATGAAAAGTGAAAGTTTACACGACTATAAGTATTAACTGATTGACATACACTTGGAATTATAATTCTGAGTTTAAACATAACTGGTATGATTCTTTGTTCGTACAGTGAGGTGGATGGGTAGTGGAACCTTGCTGATATTTCATGGGATGTATAATTTTAATTTGTAAACATATAGCTTTTTGTAAATTGGTTTAGCTTAAAATTGGTTCATGTGAGTATGAACCATATTTCAAATGTAATATGGAAACTTTTGTAAATTTGATGATCATAAGAAATTTTAGAAACAGAAAAAGATCAGTATTAACATTATTTAGCCTATTCAGCCTTCCCAATATTTCTTACGTATGCACCCGTCTTAAATTTGTAAATCTGCTTCTATTTATTAAAATTTTTATTTTTCATGTATAAAATGATTGCCAAAGACCATAACAAAAAGATCGCAAATAAGCAGTGGTCTTTTTCGATTTTTAACAGCGCCCTATCTTGTTTAGTGCGTCGAAAGTGTGTCGGGATATGTCAAGTATAACCCGGGTTTGCATAATGAGAGCATCTTCCTACAAATACAAAGTAAAATTTCAAATTATATAATGTAATCGGAATTTTACCTTGCTTTCGCAATGCAGGAAGATGTTCTCCTTACGCAAATCCAAGTTATACTTGACGTACCCGACGCACTTAACAAGGTAGGGCAACTGTTAGAAAAAGACCTCTGCTACGTGCATAAGTATGCACGTGTGAAATAAAGACCTGTGCTTTGTAATCAGTGTTGTAAGTTGTTTGAAATATCGATTTAAAACTAATAAGGTTAAAGATTTATTACGTTCCAAATCTAAGTGGATTTCAAACCAATTTTATTTCCGTTCTCACAACATATCTTTTATAGATAAAGTTTTTACTATGTCGAAGTTTTTAATTTCACTCGTGTAGTATTCGGAAACTCGAACTTATTCATTCGACATTCAACATTCTCGATTCTCGTTCTTGAAATTTTCAATTTTCGAATTTTCGCGTGAGTAATACAAACGGAGATTTAATATACCTAAAATAAACAAAGTGCATGAAAGTCGAAATCCAAAACGTTAACGTTAAGGGATATAGGAATAAATAAACCATAATTTACTATGTGTAAAATTTCATTCTAATCATTTTTAATTAGTACATCAAAGTCGATTTGAACATTAGTTTTTGAGTATTTTCGCATTTTTCTTATCTTTCATACTGTACGTACTGTACGTACTGTACGTGTTCGGGAGTAATCAAATTTGGACACTCAGAATTACGAAAAAAATAAGGGATGGCAAATTATTGATTATGTTATACGACATATGTAACAATGATAAATTTCCCATAAATATTTCCTTATATATAGTTATCCAAATAAAATTTGAAGTACAGTATTAAAAAAATCTTAAATAATTCCAAAATGAAAAACAAGAAACGCATCGTTACTAAAATAGCTATGCAAAGTCAGAATCATAATTCTCAATACTGTGATTAAAAAATATAGAACAACTTACATGAAAAAAAAGGAAAATTAGGGAATACAGTTTATATTTGTCATTCAAATATTAATTAATTTTTAGTAATAATCAATGAATTTTCATTCAACTTTATGCAAATTTACTTGACTACGGCATTGCTGCTTATGGTAGAATTAACTATATTATTGCGCTTGAAATTCATGGTACCACAACTATAATAATACAAAGTACGTGAAGAATTAGAGTAGAGTAGAAAATCATACACATTTTTAATTAGTGTTCCATGATCGTTTAAACACAATCTAACCATAGTTCTTTCTTCTGGATAAATGCAACCTTTAACTCTAGCCAAATATATTCCAGGGCCTTCGTAAATACAATTTTCTCATTGTTCTCTAAAATGCAAGCTGTCAAAATCTAGTCCCTTCGAGTTGTATTTAGGGAGGTTTGACTGTATAGTCAAACCTCCTTAAATGCACCCCCGCTGGACAATAATAGAAAAAAGAAAACCAATGTACATTTATAGAGTGCAAGGCGTATAGTGCTCTTATAAGTTGGGCTAAGCTATGTTATGCGCTTTGAGAGAATTTACATAAGGTGTACATTTAAGGAGTTCTGACCAAATTCGTAGAAATCAATTCATATAAAAATTTGAATATGGCAATAGGGAAATTTGCCCGCGAAGTGACTGTTCATGAAGTGCTACAAATTAACAAATTAAACAAAGAATAATGGTATTAAATACAATAAAGAATACAGTAAATAAGTAAAATATTATTAGTAATATTATGCAAGAATTTAATTGTGGTAATGCCCATTAAAGATAATTTTTCGGCTTAGACAAAACTTCAATATGATATAAATACCTTAAAGTTATAAAACTCGATAGTTTAACGTGAAATTCATTTTATCTTATACTAAAATGAGCGTTCCTACGAAACAAAGGGTTGCCTTAATATCACTTTTGTGGATGGTAGGCTACTTTTTAATACTGTATTTAAATCAAAATTATTACATATATGCTAACTAAATGTCAATTCATTTGTTTTCAGATTGGAGGAATATTTGGTGTTATCCAAAATTATATGGTTCTTTCTGATCCCTACATCGGTAATTTATATTATTTACTTATTTATTTGTCTTTCTCTCAACACCAAAAATATAGTGTCATGTGATAAGCAAAAAAAATTAGGTTATTAAGGTTGGTGTTTAGATTAGGATTAGAGGTTATCTTGTTATATCGATATATAATATATGGTAAAATTGTTAGAAAAGCTATACAGTATCTTATCACGTGACATTATAATTTTTCGGATATTGGATAGTTTATTTTTATTTATCAATGCTAATATTTTTTAATTTATTGTGCGTATAGAAAGTGTTGGATCAACAGTTCAAATTGCTATAGCTATAAATTCTGCAACGATTCTAATAACTAGTTTTGGATTAATGGTTGTTTGCTGTGCGGTATGTAATGCATGTCAATGATTATGTTCCAAAAGGTCGTAAAGTTTATTAATTACTAAATAAACAGGAATCAGCAAAACTCATGGAAGTCTATTCTGGATTTTACACTTTTATCGTAATTGTTCATATAATATATGCCATCTATTTTTTCATTGCTGCTTCTTCAAATTACATTCTGGATTATTTTATGAGAATTGCAATTTATCAATTAATTGGAGCTTTTATTGGGGTATGTTTGTATTTAGTTGAATATTTAAATTTTACTTTGAAAATTATATAATAAATGATTCATTTATTCGAATTCCATAGGTTTATTTTGCCAAACTTATTGCAGGCTATGCTAAAAGTCTCAAACTTAACCAAGATAGTGTTCAAACACCTAGAAAAGTTGAAGATCCTAATATGACGAATAATCAAGTTATTAATTAGCTATAAGATGCTTATACAAGTGACTTTATTATCTGATGTTACTGATGTTACTTATATCCCGTATAAAAATCTTGGTTCCAATGTATAGTAACGTGTACAGAATGATATTTATACCGAAATCTTCTAAAAATTTAGCAACTCATAAGTCGTGAATTTTAGACGACGGGTTGGATTATAATTAATTTTATAACATAAGTTAGCTTTTTTATCTAATAGCCATTAATCATTATAAATCATAATACATAATAATACCTTGTGTGAATAAAGATTTTAGTAGAAACATTTATTGTTTTTTCACTTGAGATACATATAATCAAAATAACCAATTTTTATTTAATTAAAGAAGATCGAGCCTAATATTTTTTATTTTGTTATAACACATATTTCCATCGTGACATTTACTGTATTTCTATTGCCAGGTTTTAATGATATTGGTTATTATTACAGTTGTTTTTAATTTACACAATGTTCTATAAGTATTTTTTTTCAATTCACAGGCATCTCCTGCGGAAGATATATCCTCCAAAATTTCTTAAAGTCTGTTTATGTTATATAGTA